GTCTCCCCTCTGCACAACAGGCAACCCAGCTCTGTTCTTATACACATCTAGATGTGTATAAGAGACAGCGATTGCGGATACCACGCCCATTAAAGCACCTTTCTCCTTCCAATTACCTCCCCTACCAGCACGCTGAGCACAGCCGCAGCTTGTTCGCCGAATGTCACAGCTTGGCAGGCCAAAATCCCACAGAAAAGAGGCAGGACAACCCCACAATTCGAAAACTAACTCAACCAAACAACACAAACTCCACCCCCTCCTCAGCCATAGTCTTCACACCAAAGCATCACACGCTACCTACATATTACACAAGAAACCACAACATTCCTTCTCAACTCGAGTGAGATACCTGCTCCTCGACAAGCTCTCGCTGTGCTTGCGGTCCCGCCTATGAGGTCACCATCTCCACWGTCAGGAATGCTATTTGCGCCATTGCAGAAAGGTGCTTCCACGAGTCCCCTCCCACCTCCACACATTCCTTCGCTCTCGGGCAGGGCAGCCCCTGGACGTGCTTTGTGTCCAGTGGACGGCTGAAGCCTGTGGCTGTACTCCAAGCGCACAGGCTAACTATAGCAGAGTGGAATTGTGGGCCCACCACTCACAGAGCATCAGCTATGGCTACTTCGGCTGACGAGCAGATCACTGATGCGTGTGTGTGCATGTGTAGAGTAAGTGTTGAAGGAAATGCATACAAAAACCTAAACCATTGGCATAGATTAGGGACAACCCACATTGTGGGAACAGCAAGCAACAGCCATGCACTCCAATTTTCACCGCAGGTGTAATCTCCTTATTCCAGCAAACACATCGTTCCTCATCCACATGGGCCAGATGCCATTAAGAGAACTGTCTTTTCGCCAGACGGCAAGTGAGAAGTAGTAAGGTGAGAGAGGGAGAGGGCAAGAGGAGAGAGAGAAGAGCGGCGGAGGGGGAGCGGCGATGGCAACGGGGGGGGGAACCGGCGATGGCAACCGGCCTGTAGGACCAGTCCGGTTCCGGT